TTCTTCTGTTGACAAAACAAAGAACATATGTGGATAGTGTTGTTATCATAGATTATCAATCCTCTTTCATTTCTTTTTTTTTTCTAAAATAACTTTTCACATGGTGACAACAACTAGTAAAGCATTTTGTGTTAAATGCGAAAAACCAAAAGCGACAGTGATATATGGTGAACGCTTCGAAGATTTTTGTCCTGCTCATATGAGTGAATAATTCGTTAAAATTGAAGAACAATTTAATGAGTTTCAAATGGAAATTGACATACAAAAAATAGAGTCATCAAAACATGAATTAATGAAACAAATCGAGAAATGGGAACGGGAATCGATTGAAAAGATTCGACAAGTGGCTAATGAAGTTCGTCGCGAACTCTCATCATGTGTCATTAGATTTTTTTACCAATCTTGATGTCAAATTGAAACAATTGACAGAACAACTCATTCAATGTCGTAAACAAGAAAATTTCATCTACACAAACATTCAGTTTTTCAATGAAGAACTTAAAGGATTGAAAGACAATCTCAAGAATCCACTCGATTTCAAAATAGATCACGACTCAACATCGTTCATCAATAAAATTCGTTTTGTAATGACAGGTAAATTCTCTGTTTTACTTTGATATCCCATTGAAACATAACAGCAAGTTCCAAACCTTTTTTTTCTGCAGTCTTCACTACTGAGAGAGAAATAATATGGAATAGTGAAACAACTTTCGATGATTAAAAACAGCCATTGACGATAGTGTTCCATCCGATAAGTATTTCACGTTTGTTCATATTATAATGACATTGCAAAGACTAGAATCTAAACTAAATTCAAATAAGCATAATGTCATAACATACATCCATCAAGAAAATGTTTGCACATTTCATGAATCGTTGAGTTCGATTTGGATATTTAATAAACGACAAATTGTTATCGAGAGAAATTGGTCGATCTCTATGGAAAAACAAGTATGTGGTACTTCTTTTAAACACTTCACCCCTACCCCGAGACGTACACACCCACATCCTAATTATTCTTAGATGTATTGTTTAATTCTTAGAGTAGTAAATCATCGAAAAGTTCTTGTTAGTATCTCCACTGACTTTCTTCTTTTATTTTTACCCTAAACTATAGTTGTTTGATTCTAAAATTAATGAACTTTTCTCTAGTCAATTAGTATTTCGATAGATGAAGATTACTAGTCTTTTTCGATCCGTCGAGAATCTCGATGGTTGCATAAAAAAAATTGCCTTTTTTCGCAACATTTGCAATGGATTAAATACTGAAGAAATGTTGAAAAAACTTTCTTCGAATGAATATTATGAGTAATTCGAAGTTTGATTTTTTTCTCTCTTGATTGACACTCGTTGTCAAAAAGGAATGTTCGTGTTAAGTATTGGAAATTTTTGTCATGCCTAGGAGATGCTCAATGATTCGAGACTGTTGACAATGTTTTTTCTGTCATTGTCTCATATTTCAAATGTTCGTCTAACTGATTCAATAGAAATCGAACTGATAGAAACTTCATTAAGTGTTTCTAAGAATATCGATAATATTTTCTTCGAAAAAAACTTCTATTATGCGATCATTGAAATCGTATCAATAATATCCCAATTATATTTAATGTCGAAAGGAGTATTGACAATATTCAATTGATTTTCTCGATATGAGCCATAGTTGCAGAGAAAAGTTCGATTGAATCGATGTCATAATAATATGACCTGGAAAGTGTTCAAAATGGTCGACCAATTATTGACTTGTCGTTAGTGTTTGTGATGGTCAAATATGATATTTTGTTGTCGAATCGCGCTTTTCATCGATTTGCATGAATTCTATGCCTGTGAGCTAACTTGTGTTTTTTTTTCAGCACCATTTTCACGCACTGCAAATCTGAAGGCAAATATAATATGGATACAAAATGGTGTGGCTGTGGCTGGGGGAAATGAAGACGGTAGTGGAAAACACCAGCTCTATTTTCCGTTTACAAATGGAGAATGGGAAGTGAAAATGCTACTTTGCATAATACTGATGTTATCAAAATTAGTAATCCAATGCTCATATTTGTAGTAAGAAAAGAAAAAGATAACTACACTATATTGACCGTTGTTAGAATAATGAATGAGTAACAATAAATGTGGATCTATCACATTAGTCTCTGCTTTGTGCTATTGACTAGATCTGAACATGACGTCAAATGATGAAATTATTTACCAATAGACTATCATCTGTCTGAAAATGTTAACGATCTAATTAAATAAGACATTGAACAAGAAATAATAAGAAGTTAAAACTAAAGATATCTGAACAAGAAAAAAGCATGTCATTCAGTTGCTCTTCGTTGTCTTACATCGAAGTTAATAGATGTTAAATAATTCTTTTTCGAAGAAAAGCAATGAAACTTGATACTATTGACGACTCTAGATTTTGCAAGGCATGAACAATTTCTTATTATTTGTCTCATCAGCACTTGTGGCTTAAGACTCAGGTTTGATATTTGACCGTTTGAGTTCTAATTATTGCAAACCAATAGCGATGCAAGAAAGTTGTTTTTGCTCAACATTCAAATGATAGATTTCGAATAGAGAACTGAGAGGATTCGTTAACTACAGTGCCAAATGTGATGATTTTTGATGGAAGAAATACTGGCACGGTCGAAACTATACTTTATTCGGTTTTCTCAAATCGTCAACCGCATCGTTTACATACGCAACCAGAACAGATACAAAAAAGGAAGATAGAGATAAAAAAGAAGAATATTCATGAGAGAGGAGATATATATTGGCGTTGTCACAAAAATTTTCAGTAGAGCAACTTATAACGCAAGGTGAAAGTATGGGTAGATGCTTTTCGGTATTCATGCCCACACCCTGATTACTTTGGAAGATCTATACATCATGTACTCTAACAGCATTGAGAATTCTAGCAAACGTTATTAAGGGTTTAAAAAAAACATTTTAGCTTAATGTGAAATTTTAAATTGGAATTATTTGATATAGTTTTTTCTATTGGGAAATGATTGCTATTGCGCCAACAAAGGAAGAAATACATAAATCGAACAAAATGATTGCATGATTGAGATTAGAAATGAATGTCTGCAGTAGTATAATGGTTTGAATATGTCAATTTGTCGAACCAAAGATCAGGATTGAAGATATTCGCTTCAGTCACCATTCTTTAAAATCTTTTTGTGTTTTATTCATCGCGTCGTACACGTAAAATGTGACTGAGCTGCTTTGATTCCCTGCTGTGGAGTTGTTCTGTTTGTGCTGTGATGTAATGTCTATTTGCACAAAGAACGACAAAAAAAAATAATCGGCTGTCACATAAATGATTATTTGTTTTTTTTCGCATGGTTATAAAGGAGAATGTTTTTCTTTCATCTACATCTTTCAATGTCAATAGATCTAAGAAAAAATACATGATCATGTTTCATAATCATTCTTTTGTTTTGCTTGAATGCTGCAATATTATTATGTTATGGATGAACGAGGTTTCCATTGCGTAGTTTAGTTCATGAAAAAAAAAGAATGTCCGCGATAGTATAGTAATTAGTATCCCCACCTGTCACGCGAGAAACAGGGATTCGATTCCCTGCCGCGGAGTAGCATATTTTCTCTTTTTTGTTTTCTTTATGAATTGATGCAGTTATTAGAACGGACAAAATGAAAGGTGGCACAAAATACTCGAGTAGTGATGTATTCTTTTCTTATTCACGATTTACACGTGAAAGTTTTCGTTTGTTGTTGTTTTCATTTAAAAGTTAATCGATGATTAAAATACACGGTAAAATATCTGATCTTTTATAAAAAGATGAGTTGCTCATTCAGGATTCAAATTTAAAGTTGAAAAGTAAAAGATTTGGTTTGAGTCAAAATTATAATACAAGCTAGGACTTCATGTTAAAATACGTAAATGAGTGAAAGATCAACTTTTGAAGAATAATATAAATACTTAATCGAAACTAACATATTCAACTGTTCAAAATTGGTTTTCTCGCATCATTATCTTCTCTTTTCAAATCAATCAATTGGTGTGGATACGGATGCACGTGTAAGTATGAATATGGCTGTGAGTAACAAAATGGCCCACCCTCAAAAATACAAACAATTTTGTTGTGCCAAGTTATTAGAAAGATACTTCATGATATCAGTGACAATTTGAACGATAATAAAGTAATAGTATTTCTATTATATATTAGTTTAGATATTATAAAATTGATTTGCAATTATTGTAACGTGATTCAGCAAAAAATTCTACATCGGACTATACATTAACTTCAATAGTACAATAATAAACAGGTTGTGGTCTTAAGCGTTCGCTTACTTTTAAGAACAAGTAGCAATTGAAAATGTTTCCTTTAATGCTAATCTAACTGCCTCGAATGCGCTCTTCCAGATAAAAAAACAAGTGTTTCAAAGATATATGCTGCTTCGGCTACATAAAAAATCGATTGTTGATAAGAAGGACATGAATTTTCAAAAAGAAAGAGAAAACGTTGACGGTGCTATTGATGTAGTGTTAGTATCTCTCTTTTTTAACAGTACATAAATAATCGATAACAGTATCCCTACTTTATATTACATATAAATAGCATATGGTGAAATAGCATCAGTCTCATTTTCTGCATTGTTGATTCTGGTTTTTTCTCGAGTTACCAAATCATACTTATCGATAAGAAAATTGATTCACATCGGTAGTAAATGGTATTGTGATTTAATGAACTATAAATAGTAGTTGTGCCTCAGGGGCACTTTATTTTTATTTTACTTGGAAAAAAGTAAAGTTAAGTTGAGTTACGTTAATTTACCATTTGTAGGATGAATGAATCATAATGAACTTCCTAAATTGATTCTATATTCTACACTCAGAATTTTCAATCTATATAAAATTATTATAGTCGTAGAAATTCATATAAATATCTATCTCACTTGAAGTTTTATTTCTTTCAACATAGAACAAGAACTTTTCAAGCGCTTATAAAGCTAGTACATAGCTGTGAAACTTTCAAAGGAACAAAATGGCTGCATGGAACTGGTTATCAACAGGTTGGAGCTGGTTAGTAACACTGTGCCGTACTAATACAAGAACCAGAACCGTCTCGCGATTACCATCGTCAGATATAACATGTGACACATTACTCGAATCGAATTGTGAAACACTACGATCGACGATTAATTTCGATAGCGTTTATGATCTTCAGGATATTCTAAGTCGAGGAAATAGATTAGAGTGGTGTGAATGGTATTTGACTTTTGGTGAAAAAGATAATCTCATAAAAGGAGCCAAACAATTTCATCAGGAAATAGAAAAATCAAACTTATCTTGGAGTATAGCTGATAGAATAGATACGATAGAGGAAACGTTTTTAAACTTCATGCCCACTGACAATGAATGGAATAAGATTAGAAAATGTTTCCAAGAAGCTCGTCAGAAAGATAGTCCGTTACCAATCATCAAGGCTTACACCTGTAGTCTCAAATTCAGTCTTTGTGTAAATCAACATTCAGCTGCAAACACGTATCATATACTAAAACTCTACTGTACATTATTCAACTGTCCAATTTTGGCTCAAACACAAGAGTATACAGAAGCTTTTACCAGTCTTCTTTTTCATCCCAAATTAGATGAATTCATTGTTCGAAATAGAACAGTTTATCGTGGTATAGTTCTTAAGGATCAGAAACGTATAGCTAATTATAAGGAAGGTGCTACAATAATAACAACAACATTTTTATCAACATCGACAGACCCTATCGTAGCGGAGTTATTTTGTACAGTTCATCCTGAAGACATGATATCAATATCAATATTTTGCACGTATAATATTAATAATACTCGTCGTCGTACAGCGCTTGATTTGGAAAAAATAAGCAATTTTGGAAACGAGCGGGAAATATTAATCTTACGCTATATACCATTTACAATTAAATCACTTGAACGAACGAACGATGGTCGAAGAATAACAATATGCTTTGATGAATGTGAACAATAGTGTAAATGAGCAGACAAATCGTAAAAACAATATTTATCTGCAAGATACGATTCATCACATCTGTCTAACACAGCTCATCGTGTTTGCAAACTGTAATGTGCCTTCTACGTTTTATATCATAAAGGAAAAGCGCGTTGTTTTTCTTCCCGACTGCTTCTTTTTTGAATATCTTCAAGTTTATATATCTTTCTTGTTCATTCGGTATTTCGCGATTTTTTCAAGGTTTATACAGAAGCTTAACACGAGGGTGTCGGTGTGGTTGAAGAGAAGACTCACACCCACATTCGTAATATGATTTGTACTTGATACGAAAAGAAACCTTATATTTTTTGAATTAACATAGAATCATTCGCCAATGTATATTTAGAGTTGAATGTCAAGGTCTTCATATAAGGCTTAATATGACTTTCGCCAAAGCTATGAGAAAGAGTAGATTTCGTAGTATTTTGAGAATAATTTACAGTTTCCAATGATTTTTTCATTCTGAATTTTAACATGATCTATGAAACCTATATTATTTCTTTAATGAAGTGAGCATATAGCTTCTACCAACTGTCTACAAAATTTGTGTCGAATTCTTCTTTACAGTAAAAATAATATTGAAACTGAATAATTTATAGTGTGAGACACAATCTAAAAGAGTGCGGGTGTGAGTGCATATTATAAATGGTGATTCATGTATTTCACTTTTTGCCTATATTATACTCAACAGATAATTATCCAAAAATATTACATATAGTAAAGATTCTTGTTTTTGAATAATTCTCCTATATTTTATTTAATATTATAAATTTATAAGAAAAACGAGAAATATTTTTACTTTTTTCATTTTGCTGAATGCGAACTTCGACATGGATCTGTGGATCGATCAATTGTATGATCGACTTATTAGTGTTATGATTTAAAGCTCATGAAATATTGATAATAAATTATGTTTCTTCATTAACTCGTGCTTCATATGAATTATCAACATGTACTTTGACTTTCAAGCGACTCAGAGATATTCAAATTGTTATAATTCGAATAGGCATACTCGATAATAAGTTACCAGCATATGTAAAGGCTAAATGATAGGGCATATTTGATTTTGAAATATCTAAACAAGAAAAAATTATGTTTTATTCAATAGAAAAGAAAAGTTTTTACCTGACCTAGCATGAGATCTATGAAAATGTATTTTCTTTTCTCCACTGATAATAACACGCACACAATTTTATGAATGAAGTACCGATTACCGACTAACAATAATCCCAACGTATTCTCAACATACATATAAGCTTATTTGTATGTATTTATATAAATCGGCATACCTAAATTAGTTAAGATCGTTGTGAAGAAACTATTCATAATATCTTTTTCATTTCATTTTATACTAATATTGATAAAACCTACTTTAACATATGTATGTAAGTTATACTTTCAAAAACTAACATTGATTTGATCTAGCATAGTTTTAATTAAAAAATTAGGGTCTTATTTAGAAAAACGAATAAAACTTTATTTGATCAATATAAAATATTTTTCTTACTTCTATCTTCAATGCCAACTATTCGATCAATGATAGAATACTGATCAGTAATCCAAATCACAACAACTTTAATATAATTATAGAACTTTCTATTCATACCAATTATACTCAATGGTGAAGTCATGATAACAATTGAGGCGGCACTTGTTCAATATTAGTCAAATTAATTGCGCACGCATTGTCTATTCTAACAAGAATATATTTTTTCAATGGATTACCTTGTGTAGCTATAGAACCGGATGGAATACCAAAATGATGTTAATCTAATGAAGAAGATGGACAAATACTTTTAAGTGTATTTTCACTGATCAACCTGTTTTTCGTGTAAAGTCATCCATAAAATTCCCATGTGGTTGTAGAAATGATTTGACGTCGATTGGCTCATCTTTCGAACATATTAAACGGAATAATAGCAAGAAAATTATCTCAAATAGCTGATTTATTTAGTTAGAATATAAAACTATTTTATTCATATTCATAAATAATAAAACACAAATATCATGTAATCCATGTTGATTTGAATCAATCAAAATGAGTGTTTGTTTAATTATCAATTAAATTACGTGAAGCATTTATAATTCTTTCATTTCTTGGTAATTGTACTGCTATTTCAAATCATTCAAATAGTACAATTGTGCAAACCTACTAAAAAGAAAGGATACGCTTATATTAGATTTTAACAGAATATTACAAAAAAGTTTTCTAATATTATTCTTCAGTTTGAAGCAGTTGAAAATCATTGAAACAGAATACAATCGTATTTTTTTGAACAGCCTAGAAAAACAAAAAGCAAGCGATTTTCGTTATGTTCCAATAAGAGAACTATTTCAACTGATACTTGCCATTTGAATTTATATTGAGCACGGAACAAGACCTCTCTGAGACTAGCAAAAGTCTGAAAGAATTCATCCCCATTGGCGATTGGCATCAAGTTAGAATCGCTTTACTGAATTTTTTTACTTATTTTTAAGTAATTCTCAAAAAAATCAAATTAGGAAGATTCGACCTAAAATTTTCATTATAGATAGGCCTAATCATTTTCCAAATATCCTAGAAGTTTCACACAAAAAAACTTTTTCCTCGTTAAGATATTGAATTTCGAAAAAATAGCTCTTTATGACAAGACATATCACAAAAACAACGAAGTTCTTTTGACAATCTAATAACTTGACGAAGGAATATTCTTTTCAGATGAAACTTTAAGATATTGTAAGAGTTTATATGCGTATTTGTAGTCTAAACTTTGAATTGAAAATACGTTATTTACTTGTATGGAAAATATTTAAAGTTAAGTTGAAAATCAACGACTTGTGAATTCACTATGACCTCAAACAATGACTGCCAGGTCAGAGAGTTCACTCGTGAGCATGAAACTTAGCAGAAATCTCTCACAAATTCTACAAAGCACTTTTTTCTTCAAATATTAAATTTTGAATACACATGTTTTGTTTATTATGAGTTCCGGAAAAATGCATGAACAGCATCCTACAGTAGTTTGAATACCTCTTATACCTGCAATACCTCTTCTACTTCTTATACTTCCATCATCAGAAATTGAAACAAGATGGTGGACATCCAAATAAGGCATCATACGTTGAAACAATATTTTTCCATTCTACTGTCGCACACACTGACTAACTGTTGTAATGAAAATGAGAAAATAAAAAATAAATGTTGCAGATTTCTTCTGTTAGAAAACCTTTACTACAATACGTTTATGTTTAGTCAATTTTATATTCAAATAAATTTTACAAAATTGTTTCCTTATCCTCGTTCATAGAGAAAACGAACGGTACCTATTAGCATTATTCGATCGTTTTGTCATTTTTTCATTTGAAACTGCAGTTGATATTCTTGTTTGAATCTGAATATTTTATTTTCGAACTAGACTTGCAAATCAAATCAATGGGCACAGATGAAATATATAAAGAAAACAATTACTGGCATTTGTAGATTTGTAGTTTATGTGAGTTCCGTTTATTGTGATATCTAGATTATGCTGACAAATTGAAGAAGAAAAAAAGAAGAGGAGACATAAAGAAGAACAGTTAGAGAACAAGATAACGAATGTACTATCTGACAACATAGTGTAGGACGAACACAAATATATATATATACCTAAGAACAGATTGGGAAAATTCCTGCATATCACGTTGGAAAAAAATCCTATATACGAAAATGTGAATATTTCCAACACTTGTGAATGTTCGTAAACTCACCATCTGAACAGTATTAAATACCAGAGTTTGAAATCGTCCTGCTAAAAAGAAAATCAATCACGACACCAGGTGATACAAAAATCTATTTTGCACATTTAAGTACCCAATCTGTATTTTTTTCTCAATGTAGTTAGATTGTTTTCTATCGAGGAGACTAAATTGCGCGATGAATATTCTATTTTTATTTAGCAGTACTTTAGCTGTTACTAACGACACAAGATATCGAGATTTGCATGCTTGTAACATCGAGGAAAAAAGTGTATTTGTAAGATTAATTACTGGGTTAATTAGCTCACTAAATCACTCAGTTCGTAGTCTATCGAACAATCTTCTTCTATCTGAAGACCGATTAGATGATGATCCTGGTATAATATGGTAGCTCGAAAGCTTTAATTACATAGTTTGGAAAATTTTAATTTGTATGACGCTTCAAATCATAACGAATTGCGACAAACAATTTAGCGAAAAAAATCCTTGAAGTTGTTGCTCAACAAATCTCATACAGGAACAACACATTTTCTCGTAATGAAATCTTTTGTTTCAGATGTATTTTACTACAATAAAAATCTTTGTATTTCTTATGGTGTTGATCATCGAATTTCCTTCGATCCGGACTGATGCATTTTCGAAATCTGCTGCTAGAAATGTGCCCTGTTTTCATGCCATTGTGCCTCGGCAACAACTTTCAACAGTCAAAAAAGTCGAAATTTTGAATTGGGTTAAATGTCAAGAATCCCAGTACGATTCTACTGAAGCCATGCTTCTAAAAGATTTTTACATATGCACCGCGACAATATCATTCGACGTGACAAGGTGATAAAGTTCATCTCATACGTGATGCAGCCGTTTATGCAGTCGTTCTACTTGACAGCGAAGACAATGGAATAGAAAAACGAGCATTTGATATCTTGAGAAAAATTTCATCATTACAGGACACAAAAACTGAGTCGAAAACATACGGAATTTGGCCGTATTACTTGGAAGAACCTCTCGAAAAATGTCTCATCCAGACTGAAATTGGGCTGATTTTGTAGGTACGCAATTGTTACAAGTCGTCATCAATCATCATAAGCGTCTGCCAGGGGATTTAGCTACAAATATGGCCATGGCACTTATGCATGCTGTCCGTTCAATTCAAAGACGTAACGTTGGACCCAGTTATACGAATATTGCTATCATGGGTACTCATGTCACACTGGTCGTAAGTGACATTTACAATATCACTGATTTACATCAATATGTACTTAGACGCT